AAACCATGCTAATGCAATTCCACTAATGCCAACATAATTTTTGAGTCTATTTAAAAGAATGTTGTGGTCAATGGTGTCAAATGCAGCACTAAGATCGAGTAACACTAATAGAGAGATACAACCACGATCGGATGATAAGAGCAAATCATTTGTGACTCTAATGAGAACGGTCTCAGTGCTATGGTACGGTCTAAATCCTGACTGAAGATCCTCGCAGATATCATTTCTTTCTAGAAAGGAACACAATTGTGAAGATACTTTCTTCACAATTGTAAATCCTGCCACTACTGGACTGTATAGATGAACTGAAACTATGGCTTACTGATAACTTCTTGAGTTTAAATGAAAACAAGACAGAAATTATCCTGTTCGGCCCCAGTGATCGTAGTACACATGTTTGTGACCTTCTAACATTGTCACCTTTCAGTACCACCTGTACTCGTAATCTGGGCGTCTGGATTGATAACAACATTAACCTTGAAAAGCAGATAAGTGCTGTGGTAAAATCCTGCTTTTTTCATCTTCGTCTCTTAGCTAAGGTCAAGCCGTTTTTGTCTGGTAAACACTTTGAGATAGCCATGCATGCATTTATAACATCCAGATTGGACTATTGTAATTCTTTATATATTGGAGTTTCTCAGAAACATATCTCCCGTCTCCAATTAGTCCAAAATGCAGCTGCACGCCTTCTCAAAGGAAAACGTAAATTTGACCATATTACTCCGGTTCTGATCTCGCTACACTGGCTACCGATTAAATTTCGAATAGATTTGAAAGTTTTGCTTTTTGTTTTTAAATCTTTACAAAACATAGCTCCCCAGTACTTATCTGAACTGCTTCACCCAAAATTGAAGTCAAGATCACTAAGATCGGGGGAATCAAATTTACTCTCTGTCCCCAGGACCAGATTAAAAAACAGGGGTGACCGTGCTTTCGCAGCTTATGGACCCAAATTATGGAATAGCCTACCCACAAATATCAGATCTGTCCAAACTCTGACATTATTTAAAACTACTCTGAAAACGTACCTTTTTTCACTTGCTTTTAACGTACCTTGATGTGTCCGTCTTTCCTCCTCGACGTGTATCTGTTTGTTATGTGCATGTTTTTGTCTACCTTTGTATTGCCTTGTTAAGCACTTTGGTCAACGCTAGTTGTTTTAAATGTGCTATACAAATAAAATTGTATTGTATTGTATTGTATACTGCTTTTTCTAGTATCTTTGACAGAAAAGGCAGATTCGAGATCGGCCTGTAATTGACTAATTTTGTATGATTAAGTTGCGGTTTTTTAAAAATAGCCAGCTTAAAAGTTTTCGGTACATATCCTAGAGACAACTATGAATTAATGATATTGAGTAGAGTATCTATGACCTCTGGAAGCATCTCTTTCAGTAGCTTAGTCGGTATAGGGTCTAACATACATGTTGTTGATTTAGATGATTTAACGAGTTTAGAAAATTCTTCCTCTCCTATAACAATGAATGAATCGCATTTTTCCTCAGGGAGACTACAATGCACTGTCTGATGCGATACTGTGGTAGATGGTTGCATAGTTATAATTTTCTCCCTGATATTATCGATCTTATAAGTGAAGTTCATAAAGTCATTACTGCTGCATTGCTTGGACACTTCTGGGGTTGAATCTTTAATTTTCGTTAGTTTAGCCACTGTTTCAAATAAATTCCTAGGATTATGTTTATTTTCTTCTAATAGGGTTGAAAAATAAGCAGAGCTAGCAGCTTTTAAAGCCTCTCTGTATGCAATCGAGCTCTCTTTCCATGAAATGCGAAATACCTCTAGTTCAGTTTTCTTCCAGGTGCGCTCCATTTTTTTTTTTTAACAGAGTCATGTGATCGCAGTTGGAGTTGACATCATTCGCCACCGTTGCTTTTTCAGTGACGTACGACTCGCATTGACGGGAATACCCCATCTGTCCGCTTACAGGGCAGATTCATGTGAATGAATGGACTGCGAGGAATGCATCAGGACACATAGAAAAACCTAGAAATGCTCAAAATTCAAACTAAAAATACCAAAAAATTATGTGATGTATGTGAATGCACACTGAAGAGAAAGTGCCTTTAGGACCCAGCGGAACAGCTCCTCTGCTCCATATAGATGTTATTCGATCTGCGTCATCAATGTTTGCGGCGGCCATATTGTTGACATAGAAACCACGGCAACTGTCAGTCTGTCAATTGACAAGCGAGGCAGCGTCGCAATTATCCATGGTATTATCACTGTATTTTTTTTAAAACAGCGTGATGGTGTCTTGTGTAATACACGGCTGTTCTAACAACAGCAATAAGAACCCCGGAGTTAGTTTTTATGATTGCAATAAGTTACCGACTGTTCCCATCATTTTACCACAGGTTTCACACACAATCCGTGTGCAATGCGTGTGCAGTATACGGTACAGAAGCAGGACGCGCTATAGTGCTTTATATGCTGCGTTTGCAGTGCGTAACTGATCCGCGGCTATACCACAAACATTATTT